TAGGTTCATTTGTAGTTTTTTAAGAGTTCTCCACACTGCTTTCTATAGGAGTGGAACAAGTTTGCAGCCCCACCAGCAATGGATGAGTGTTCCCCTTTCCCCATATCCTCTCCAACATTTGGTATCATTTGTTCTCTTGAGCTTATCCAGTCTGACTCGGGTAAGATGAAATCTTAAGTTTTAATTTGCATTTTCCTAATTAATTACAATGTTGAACACTTTTTAAGATGTTTCTTAGTCATCTTTATTTCTTCTTTTGAGAACTCTGTTCAGATCCTTAGCCCATCTTTTAATTGGGTTGCTTCCTTTCTTGATTCTTTGTTTCTTGAGTTCTTTATATATTCTGGATGTTAAACCTCTGTTAGATGTGTCACTGGTGAAGATTTTCTCTCACTCTGTGGGTTTTCTCTTCACTTCCTTGGTTGCGTCTTTTAATGTACAGAAGCTTTTTCGTTTAATGAGGTCCCATTGGTTGATTCTTGAACTTAATTCCTAAGAGGGGAATTTATAGCTCTAAGTGCCTACATTAGAAAATAGGGCCGGGTGTGAATGACTTAACATTGCAACTCAAGACACTTGAAAAGCAACAACAGATGCAAACCAGCAGAGAAGAAGAAATAACAAAAATCAGGGAGGAAATTAATGAAATAGAAATAAAGAAAACAATTCAAAGAATAAACAAATCTAAGAGCTGGTTCTTTGAAAAGATAAATAAGATAGACCATTAGCCCAGTTAACCAAAAGAAAGAAAGAGCACCTTCAAATCAACAAAATTGAAGATGAAAGGGGAAACAACAGACACCAAAAAGATCCAGAACATTACAAGGGAATCTTTAAAAACCTATACACTATTAAATTGAAAACCTAAAAGAAACGGATGAATTTCTAAAATCATGAGAACCACCAAAGTTAAACCAAGAAGAGATCAACAGCTTAAACATAAGGAAGTCGAAACAGTAATACAAAATCTCCCGAATAAAAAAAGCCCAGGCCCAGATGGATTCATAGTAGAATTCTACCAGACATTTAAAGATCTACATCCAATACTACTTAAATTATTCAAAAAGATAGAAATGGAGGGAGAACTTCCTAATCCCTTCTATGGACCCATATCCTTAATGAACACAGATTAAAGACACAACCAAAAAAGAAAACTGTAGACCCATATCCAAATGAACATAGATGCAAAAATTCTCAACAAAATACTTGCAAACTACACACAGACATACATCAAAAAGATCATCCACCACGATCAAATTGGCTTTATTCCAGAGAGGCAGGGATGGCTCAATACACGTAAGTCAATAAATGTCATAAATCATACAAATGGACTCAAAGACAAGAACCATATTGTCATCTCAATAGATGCAGAGAAGGCCTTTGACAGAATTCAACATGCATTCATGTTGAAAGTCCTGGAGGGAATTGGACTGGAGGGAACATACCCCAACATAATTAAAGCCATATATAACAAACCCACAGCCAACACCATTCTAAATGGAGAAAAACTGGAAGCATTCCCATTAAAATCAGGAACCAGACAAGGCTGTCCACTATCTCTACTCCTTTTCAACACAGTGCTTGAAACTTGCTAGAGCAATGAGAGAAGGAAATTAAAGGGATACTAATGGGAAAAGAAGAGGCCACATTATCCCTTTTTGCAGATGATACGATACTATACCTAAGAGACTCCAAAAATTCCACCAGGAAACTAGAACTGATCAACACTTTCAGTAAAGTGGCAGGTTATAAAATCAATCTACAAAAGTCAGTAGCCTTTCTATACACCAATAATGAGTAATCAGAGGAAGAGTACAGGGAAATGCTCCCCTTCACAATAGCTGCAAAAAATAAAATAAAATATCTTGGAATAAACCTGACCAAAGACATTAAAGAGCTCTACAACGAAAATTTTAAATCTTTAAAGAAAGAGATTGAGGAAGACATCAGAAGATGGAAGGACCTCCATGCTCATGGATTGGAAGAATTAATACTGTGAAAATGACCATCCTACCAAAAGCAATATATAGATTCAATGCAATGCCAATCAAAATACCCATGACATTGTTCACAGAATTGGAAAAAACCGTCCTAAAATTCATATGGAAGCACAAAAGATCTCGGATAGCCAAAGCAACCCTGAACACAACAGTGCTGGGAGGATTGCTATACCAGATCTAAAACTATATTACAGAGCTCTAGTCATAAAAACAACATGGTACTGGCACAAAAATAGACCCATAGATCAATGGAACAAAATTGAAGACCCAAATATGAGTAAATGCAATTTCAGCCACTTGATATTTGACAAAGGGGCCAAGAACATTCACTGGAGGAAAGACAGCATGTTCAACAAATGGTGCTGGCAAAACCGGATCTCCACCTGTAGAAGAATGAAACTAAACCCCTATCTTTCACCTTGCACAAAAGTCAATTCCAAATGGATCAAAGACCTCAATGTAAAGCCTAAAACTCTGAAACTGTTAGAAGAAAACATTGGCAATTACCTACAAGATAAAAGTGTAGGAAAGGATTTTCTAAAATTTTTTTTTTCTTAATTTTATTCAGAGCAGGGCACGGTGGCACACACCTTTTATCCCAGCAGAGGCAGGCAGGTCTCTGTGAGTTCAAGGCCATGTGGGACTACAGGGAGACCCTGTCTCAAAAAGACCAAAATTGTATTGTGTGTGTGTGTGTGTGTGTGTGTGTGTGTGTGTGTGTTTGTATGCGCGCACACGTGTTGTGGCATGCCTGTGGAGATCAGAGAACAACTTTGGTGATTCGGTTCTCTCTGTCTTTGGGTTCTGCGGATCAATCTCAAGTTTTTGGGCTTATGCAGAAAGTACTGTTACTAGCTGAGCCATCTTGCCAGCCCTGAAAAACCCAGAGTCTAAAAACATAGCAGACATAGGCTCAATGAGCAGCTTTCTTCTAAAGGAAGAATGTGCATTTATGTGGAGGTGTGTGACGCTCTCTGCACAAAGTGGAGGGTCTCCAGATGAGGGTGGATGGGCTGCTGCTGTGCAGAACCAGCAGTGTTGCGTCATGGCTCCAAGACTCTTTAAACCCAAAGCAGAAAACTCCTTCCCTTTTATTATTGGTGTTTATGAAAAAGACCTTGGGGGCTGGAGAGATGCTCAGTGGTTAAGAGCACTGCTTGCTCTTGCAGAGAACGTGGGTTTAGTTCCCAGCACCCACATGGCAGCTAACAACCATCCTAAACTTCAGTTCCAGGGGATCCAATGCCCTCTGCTGGCCTCTGTGGACACCAGGTATGCATATCATACATATACATACAATGCAGGCAAACACTCATACACATAAAATAAAAATAAGTAAATCTTGAAAGAACAAAAGAAAAAACCCTAGTCATCTAGGAAAATTTAAATTGTGATTGAACTGATTGTGTTTGATGTAAATGAATTTACCTAGGTTTTTATATTTTTCAGTGTATTATTTCTGTTGGTGTTGGGGATGGAACCCCAGGCCTCATATATGGTAGGCAACTGTTCTACAACTGAGGGACACCCCAAGCCCAGTTTATATCTCTCTAGTCAGAAAGTGCTTCACCTTAAAGGGAATTTAACACCAGAGACACATGGACCTGGTGGTTGGGGAGAAGCAGTCTTGCATCACCCAAGCTCACTTGAAGATCAACCCCGGCGCTGTGCTAGTATGGTCAGGGCCATCCGCAGGGTGGGTCTTTGTCTTCCCCAAGCATCCTGCCAGGGACTTGCCCAGCTTCAGGTGTTGACAGGTGCTGCTGGAGGCTTGGAGACCTCCCCTAACCTCTGTGGGCTGTGCCGTGCCAGAGCGTGTCTGGGATGCCTACCTTCACAGCCTCTCTGGTCTCGGGGCTGGTTTCTGATCCTGGTCTAGTTTCCAGGCTGGAGTGTGCTACATATTTGCCAGCACCTTTGACGATGTTCCCATGAGGACTTTGCCACAAGGGTCTCTTAGAAGGAGACATCTACAGTTCTTTTCCTTAGGTCCTACCTGGTGTTCAGTGTCTGCCGATGGAGTGACCGGCAGTGACAGGTTCCCTGTGGGAAATGTGTGCTGTTACAGACTGCCTTTTAGGTTGCTGCTTTGATCCAGGCTTTCAGTGGTGCTGTTCTGAGTGTGGTCACTTGGGACCCAAGCTACCTCCAGTTTTCACTTTAAAGCAGATAAATCCAGATCTTTGGAGTATCCACAAATTGTAAAGCAACAATGTATTTTTTTCCTAAGACACTGAGGTTTATTTTTTTTAAATTATTATTATTTTAAATATTTTATTTATTATTTTTATTTTTATGTATATGAGTATATTGCCTGCATGTATGTGAGCGCACTCATGTCGTGCAATGCCATGGAGGTCAGAAGAGGGC